TTTTTTGAAAGTGTAGCATTTGATCAAACAGCCACATTTTTATAACAAAGAGGCTAAGAAAAAGATGATGCATTTTTTAATAGCAAAAAAGAGTTGCAACTTTGTTTGAGCTTTCTTTATAGTTCCAGCAGCAAGGAGAGCAACTGCAAAAACGTTTGACAGGACGGTAGTAGGTATGGCAGATACTGTGGGGTTTTGAAAATGGTATTTTGCACAGAAGCTCTGCTGCCTCAGCGATGGCTCTCAAGTGATGCCACTGCCTCTAAGAGAGGGCTGCTGGCTCTCTCCATCTTCCTGACCTTGTCTTTTTAATTTTGAAATGCTTCATTTTGAATTCAGAAAGCTTTTGTGAGCAGAAATGATGCTCATGCAACCTATCCGTATTCAAAACAAAGGAGTGAAAATGGGAAGAAGTCCAAAAATGCCATCTCACAGAATATATTCAAATCCCTCCACACTTTTAAGGTAGTATTATCCCAGTGGGATAGCTATTTACATCTGACACTTTTTGACTTATTCTCTGCTGAGATGAAGCACAAGCTTATGACCAGTTATAGTTCTGTGATTTTAGAGAAAAACAATCAGGCATTAGTTAATAAAAGCAAGCAGAGGTTATTTTCCACCATCTCAGCTGCAGCGTTTCTTCAACCTAAATGCCTGACACAGCAGCCATCACATTTCTGAGAACTCTCCAAAGATTCACGGCAGTTTATTCTCAAAAAAAAATTAAAATCTGAGGAAGTGAAATCTGATTTGAGGAGCAAAAGATGAGGAAAGCACTGCCTGAAGGATTATAAGAAAAAATCTCACCAAAAGCCTGAGTAATAAAGTCAGAGACTTTCAGCTTTGGCTTTTTGTCCGGGGCATTTTTCAAACACATATATATTTTAATGTTTTAATATTTCTACAGGTCCTTGAGGCACTACTGATTCTGCCACAGTGTCATTCTGGAAGAAGCCATCTCTGATGCCAATAACATAGGGAGCTTCAGACTTCCAAAGTCCAGCAGCATGGTGTTTTACTTCCCCACTGGAATGGATGCTTCTGTTAGCAACGTAACACTCAGAATCACCTTCAGAATCAAAGGGAATCCCTAGGCCATCATTTCATTATGCCCATCCAAAATGGCAGCTCTGAGGCAAACACACCAGCTCCATGAAACAGCTTGGGGCTGACATCTATGCCCATGACACATACCCAACCCAGCCAAGATGGGTGAGCAAACCAGCAGGCTCAAAATGAAGGACAAGAAATTCTTAAAAGCATTCAATGAGCGTTTAAGTTCAATTCAGTTTTGAATCCTGCAGAAATATTTTACTAGTAAGGAACATTTGAAAAAAAAATAGTTCATGGATTCCCTTGGGCTTTGCTCTGATTTTATGGCTGGGCAATCTGTTCTATCACGAAGGACCCAAAATATTTCCTGCCAGTGCCTCTTTATATTGGGAATGGTGAATAACAGTGTCTTCTTCCTCTTTATGCTTGTCTGGCTACATGGAGAATAATGCGTCCGGTTTTGTGTCCCCCATCTACAAGGACACTGATCAACACAATGAAAGAGAGCACTGACCAACACAGTGACCTGAGAAAGGACCTACTGAGTCATTTAGGGCAGCAGCACCTGCCTTGTGAGTAGAGGTTGAGGGAACAAGGCATGTTCAGCCTTGGAAAGAGAAAAGAAGGCTTTGGGGGAATCTATCAGTACCTAGAGGAGGTTACCAGGAAGATGAAGACAGGACATGTAGCGGCAGAACAGTGCTCATGAATTGAAACAGGTGATGTTCAGACAGGGTATAAGGAAAAGCTTTGCATCATGAGGATTTTAGATTTTCACAGAATCATAGAATCATAGAATGGCCTGCATTGAAAAGGACCACAATGATCATCTAGTTTCAACCCCCCTGCTATGTGCAGGGTCACCAACAACCGGACTAGGCTGCCCAGAGCCATATCCAGCCTGGCCTTGAATGCATCCAGGAATGGGGCATCCACAGCCTCCCTGGGCAACCTGTTCCAGTGCATCACCATCCTCTGGGTGAAAAACTTTCTCCTTTGGGGAGCAGATCCCCAAAAATGTTGTACAGTCTCTATCCCTGTAGGTTTAAATGACTTGGGCTCAGCAGTGATTACTTGGATCAGCATGGTGAACTGGAGACCTTTCCTTCCAAACAGTGTGGTTCCATGCATTTGTTTTTGTTTGTTTGTTTGTTTGTTTTTTGCAAGTGCTGTGCACTGCTAATTGACAGACATTGTGGGCACTGCATGTGGTGACCACATAAAGTGGTTTATCCTGGAGAATAAGAACAGGGGGGGGGGAGGAGGCTACTAGGGGTGTGGGAGAACAGAGAGATTATCTTTTCTTTGCTGTACCTTTGAGGGTTTCAATGCATCCAATCTCTAGTGTTGTTATAGATATCCTGGGAGAGTTTGAATCTCTTTGGTCCTCAAATTCTGTTTTGCAAGCAAGAATACCAACAAAAAGAAGCATACATATGTATATTTTTAATCCAGTTCCTCACTGCAGAAAGCAGCTTGATCCTCCTTTCCATTTACACAGACCTCAGACCTCAGGCCTGCATGCTCAATGGCACAGTGTCCTGTGAGGAAGTGCAGCGATTAGTGGATGTGCTTCATTGCTCTGTTTGGAACCATGGACCATTTAAGAATACTATTATTACAGGGATTCACTTATGCACCCATCAGGTTTTGGAAAAGATGCTTCTCCAGCCATAATAATTCAACACTGCAATGTCTAATGATGCACACAAATAATTTCTGTGGTTACAAAACAGACAGAGCACCACACCTGCCTGAAACAGCATACTGAAAAGCCAGAAATTTCCTCCTGATTGACTCATTCCTATTACACCTGCTTTCAGAGACAAAAGGGAAACATCAGAGACTTCTCATATCAAATTGAAAAATTTATTTTCAGCACGACTACTCTGCTGTAATAGAAAGTGGAGGTGGTAGTGCTCAGGGCTTAGAGATTCACCTCCCCCACATGCCGCTCTGGTGAATGGGACTCAAATGCTTGAACACCTCAACCCTTACACCAAGCTTCCACTCCTGGTATTAACACCTAAACCAGGTATAAGTATAGGACAGGCTGGGCAGAATTGCCAGCTGAGTCCCCAGACAGCCCAGGGCAGCAGTGCCAGACTCTAACCAAGCACAGTCCGTGGGCACACAGGTCACAGGTGAGGGCTGGCAGAGCCGAGCACTGCAGGCATTATGATTCTCATCATGGGTCTTATCAGCAAAACCTCTGTGACAGAAAGAGGGTCTCAAACACATTTTCCCAGCATTTTCTGTATCTTTATAGATTTGAAATATCAGAAGGAGAGAAGAATAATTCCTTGTCTTTTCCCTCTGCTGGCAGAAAGAAGAGAAATACTATAGCCCAGTGCTCATCCTGAGCCTGCAGAGCAGAAAGCCTCGTACCACCCTCTCATGAAAAGACACATAACTAAAAGCAGCCACATGGATTTCTTCTCTTTTTCACGTCTTTTTTTTTTTTTTTTTCAAATTTACCTCCCTTAGCAGAGTCTTTCTGTGTAATTGTTTAGATTAGAACAAATGTTTACAGCCCAGATATAAACTCTTGACAACAGGGTTTTATAATGAATAGACCTGACAGACCTCTAACTATTGACTCTCACATTAAAAAAATGGATTGAGATTTCCAGCAGAATAATTATACACGTGTACAATCAGTGATTACTGAGCTTTTTGAGGAGAGCTAAAATCACTGAATCATAGCATGCGACTTTCATATCAAGGGCAACAATCACGGTATTGAGAATTTGTAGTCTTGCATAAAAACAAAAGGCCAAAATCTGTACTTTTTTACAACCTATGCAAGCCATCAATTTCTCCAAAATGGCATGGAGTGTAAGTCAGGTAGAATTTGTCCTGTGCAGCTTTATATTATTTTTACCCTTACATCATCTTCAAATTATGAGGTTGCCATTCAATCGGGCTGCCCCTTCACAAATAAGCCTGTTTGTGTAAAATAATCATTCACCTTCAAATTCAAAAAAACACGCAAAACATTTCCATAAGGCTTAAAAAGAACATTTAGGCTGGCTGGGATTTTTGCTGCTCACAGCTCCAACCCCTCAGAAAAAAAGGGGAGTAGGCAGCCTGTTCTTGTGCACTGAAATCATCAGGAGATTCTATGATTTATCATATGCAGTGGACTAGAAGGAGAAATATGGAAGCAGTGTAGGAAAGGTGATTCTCAAGTTACTTCAAACCCAGTTGAAACCCTGATCTGCCGGATGTCTTACAAGCAAGTTGTGTGTGTTTTTTTTTTTTCATACAGCTCCATCTCAATTTCCACACCAAAGAGGTTCAGATAAGCTTACGCCTCTGTCTGAACCTCTGAGCCTTTTGAAGTTTGCCATTACTGTCATTTTCCCTATATACTGCTGGTTCCTCTCTTGCTGACTGAGCTCTTGCAGAACTACCCAGCCCTGCTAACCATAAAGGAAATGATAGGGAGCACGTCTCAAAAATAGTAGCAAAAGCAATGTTTTCACAAATTACAGACAGGAGAACGGCCAGCATGTCCAGGGCAATCCTAACACAAGATGTTTGGTAAATTTGAATCTGAGCATACATCATTAAGCCAAAGGAACAACAGAGCAAACCAACAGGGCCATCTTCTTGTGTAATTGTATACTTCCAATCACACTGAGCCATAATGCTCAGCCATCGTATCTGCAGAGTGAGAAGGAAGGTCCGGAAGCAGAATGATGTCAGCCTGGAGGTCTGGTAAGGGGCTGTCTGGCTCCAGCTCTCACACCAGCTGCCTCTGCTCTAGGCAAGCCACCTCACTGCTTCTTTTCCTACCTAGGCATAGAGGACCTCTCTCCTTTGCAGGCCATGGTGAAACTTTACTCATCAATACACACAAAGCAACCAAGTCCTTCTGTTAAAGACATCTGTATGGGAACTGCTGAGTCACGGCCTGAACTTCTGATTGATCACCTGAGGTGAGCAATGAGCCAGCCAGAGGAGCACAGGTGAAGGCAATTCACCTGTGCTGCCAGAAGGGGTGGAGCCTGGCTCCACCTCTCCTAGACCTATTTAAGAGCTGGCTACCAGTGGGGAAGGATCTCTTTTGGAGATTTCCTCTCTGGAGTTTTGTAGTGAGCCCAGAGCACAGGTAAGCTTTTTATCCATTCTCTTTTTATTATTATAGCCTGCTATTATAACTTGCTTTGCTTAACTCTCTTGTTTATTTCATAATTGTAACCTCTTTATATCACTGTGAATAGTTGTTAATTTCTATTTTATTTTTGTTGATCTTGTCCATTTGGGAAGTTGTGTTTACCCCCTGCAAATCTGGGAGTAAGGGATGATCAGGATCATAATGTTTCTCTCTGAGGTGGTGGATGGGAGGGTAGACTGAGAGGGAGGGGATGAATGTTCAAATTTCAAAAAACAGTATAGATAGTTGAACTATTATTGCTTGCAAACTGGAGGCATTTTCCCCATGGTGCTTTTTTTTCTGTGGCCAAGAGTGAAATGACTTTTTTTTTATCAGCAGTGGTGTGCTGTTGCTGCCACAGTAATTGAAACAGACTGCTTCATCTAGGAAGCACCAAGCAGCAGTAGTTTTACCAGGAGATAAGGCTAGATGAAATCAATTGACTGGATTGAGGGGCCAAGGCAAACCACGTGAGTTTCAGTAGGGCTGAGTGTTGGGTCCTGCATTTTGGTCACAACAGTGCCAGGCAACCCTACAGATTTGAGGAGGAGTGGCTGGAAAGCTGCCTGATGGAAAGGGACCTTGGTGTACTGGTAGACAGTCAGCTGAATATGAGCCAGTAGTGTGCCCAGTTGGCCAATAATGCCAGTGGCATTCTGGCTTGTATCGGGAATGATGCGGTGAGCAGGACTAAGGAAGTAATCCTGCCCTGTACTTGGCATTGGTGAAGCCTCACCTCAAGTAGTGTATTCAGTTTTGGGCACCTCAGTCCAGAAATGACACTGAGATACTGAGCAGGTCCAAAGAATGGCAACAAGGCTTGTGAAGGGCTTGGAGAATATGCCCTATGAGGAGAGACTGAAGGAACTGGGGTTGTCCAGTCTGGGGAAAAGGAACCTGAGAGGAGACCTTACTACCCTCTTCCAATATCTGAAAAGTGCTTATAGTGAGAGCGGGGTTGGTCTCTTGTCACTGATGACAGGTGAAGGACAAGGGGAATTGTCCTCAAGTTCTGCCAAGGGGAGCTTTAGGTTGGATATTAGGAAACACTTCTTTACAGAAAGGATTGTTATGCACTGGAATAGGCTCCCCAGGGAGATGGTTGAGTCACCATCTCTGAATGCGTTTAAAAACCATTTGGATGTGGTGCTCAGGGACGTGATTTAACAAAGAGTTGTTAGTTAGGTAGTATGGTTAAGTCATGGTTGGACTCAATGATCTTCAAGGTCTTTTCCAGCTAGAGCGATTCTATGAGCAAGGAGGAACAGAGAAAAACCATGCAAAATACAAGTAAACATAGGTAGAAGTACCTACCTAAAGTACAACCTCATCAGTTTCTTCATTACAACCACTGCAGTAATGTGACAGGTGACAGTGGCTATTCCTTTGCAATTAGAGCAACATCTTTCCTTCCTGAGATGCAGCACTTGCCCTTGCACTCAGAGACCTCCCTTCAAACCGACTGGCCTGCCCACTGCAAGTTTGACTGCTGCAAGTGCTCTCCTCAGCAGGAAATCCTGTGAGGATGTGGTGACGCTCTTCTGTGGTTCTCCAGCTCTTCCATATCCTTGAGCATGGTGCAGAGTTAGCAGTAGGTGGTGAGCAAAACGTGTATGGCTGGAAAACAAAGGGCAGATTTGGTTCTGACTTCTCTATGGCCAGGGCAAAGTTGGGCAGGGTTGTGTTGATTAGAAGTTCTTTAATATTTTCAATGCTTTTTTACAATATTTTCTCAGATCTCCCCACTTTCTAACTTTGTAGAACAAGATTTTCCTAGCTTCAGCTTTTTGGCAATACCTATATGAAACCCCTGGACCACAGAATCACTGAATCGCCAAGGTTGGAAAAGATTTCCAAGGTCATCCAGTCCAACTGTCCATCTATCAATAATATTTCCCACTAAACCACATCCCACTTCTAAAAGTTTCTTGAACACCTCCAGGGCTGGTAACTCCACCACCTCCATGGGCAGGTGTGCTTGACCACTCTTTCAGATAAGCTTTTCCTAATGTCTAATCTGAATCTTCCCTGGTGCAACTTGAGGCCATTCCCTCTAGCCTTGTTTTTAGCTCTTCAGGGAGAAGAGGCTCAGCTGCTCCTCATAAGACTTGTGCTTTGGATCTCTCATCAATTTAATAGCTCTTTTCCGAACACGCTCCAGGGCCTCAATGTCTTTCTTGTGGTGAGTAGCCCAGAACTGAACACAGCGCTCTAGGTGTGGCCTCACCAGGGCTGAATACAGAGGAGTGATCACTTCCCTGCTCCTGCTGATAGCACTATTTCTGATACAAGCCAGAATGCCACTGGCCTTCTCAGCCACCTGCGCACACTGCTGGCCCATGTTCAATGCAGCATCAATCAATACCCCCAGCTCCTTTTCCTCCATACAGTCTTCCAGCCACTCTGTCCCAAGCCTGAAGCATTGCCTGGGGTTGTTGTGGCCAGTGTGCAAGATTCAGGACTTGGTGTTGTTGGACTTCATCCCATTGGCCTCAGCCCATTGATCCAGCCTGTCCAGACCCATCTGTAGGGCCTTCCAAACCCCAGGCAGATCGACATTTCCTGCGAATTTGCAAACTGACTGAGGGTACATTCATATCTCAGAAGGTACTTGGATGCTGCATTCCTGTTTCCTTAACAAAGGCTGTTGCAGAAAGTCACTGTTGGAACAGTGATGAAAGCGAGCAGTTTGTCTGTCATTTTAACTTCCGAAACATCAATAACCAGGCTCTGGGCTTCTGTTTCATGGCATTTTCAAATGAACAGCATTTGTTTTGCTGCCACTAACCTGGGGATTTCCTGCCTCATGCTGCTCTGGAAACTCACCAAGAGATTGAGAACCAGTCTGAGGTTTTTTTTTGTTTGTTTGTTTGTTTGTTGTTTTGTTTTTCCTCTCACATCTTTACTAGTAACAAATATTTTACAGGCCAGACTCTGGAGGACTGTTTCCTTGCAAGCATCCCACCTGTTATTCACATGCATGTCCACCTTCTCTGTAACAGAAGTGTGGGATTTAATTATAACGAGAACAAGCAGCAGAAAAGGTTATTCTAATTATCAGAGGAGGAGCACATTTAGAAGATAGATCCAAAGTCTACTGATCTCAGCAGAAGCCTTTTTCCACTGACCTAAGCAGGCTTTTGATCAGATCCCCAGTTAAGGAAAATGATAATGCTGCTGTTCAGTTTCTTTTTGCTGTAGGCTGCTAGACTGCTGTGTTTCTCACTTGTCTTGAAGTTGGCCCACTGACCAGCCTGGACAAAAATGCTGGCTCCTTGCCTGCTCTGGTCATGCTGTCTTTTACACCCTCTCTCAATTTTCCCTGCTGCTATTCCTGGTTGCCCTAACTGTTCTCACTGACTCCCAGGAGAAGAGATGGATGTTTTACAAGGAAGCAATGAAGTCAAATGGCTGAGACAGAAAAAGAAATCCCTGGATCTCAGAGCCATGCAGAGCCATTGAAATGTAAAATCAAGAGGAGAGCAGTGAAGGATTTATAAAAATGGAAATAGCTTTAAAGGGCCCACCAGAATGAAATTGTTCATGAGTCATGAGGGACTACCTCTACAAGTGACACAGTTTCTCCTGCTGGTAAGAGATCTCCATCCTCCCCAGGAAGTCTGCAGAAGACCATTTCTGTAAATTGCAATTGCAAAGACCATCACCTGATATGACACTGGAGGGCAAAAGTAGCATTACTTCAATACAATCCCAGCATGAAAAAGTTAACAAAATGTGCGTCACTGAGAAACCAATTGTACCTGCAGGGTAAGAAAAGGTCACACACAAATGCTTGAAAACTGGGCATGCTGCATAAACTGTTGATAGAAAACTCCTTCCTATTCATATGTGAATAGATCGAGAGTAAGCACGATCAGAGCACAAAGAGAAATAATTATGACTATTTTTCAGATTAATAAACTTTACCTAGATTTTTCTCTCATTTTTCCACAGTACTCTCTCTACTTAGATTTTAAGTAGGCCAGAGACTCTCTCCTCTTTCTCTTTCCTCTGTATATCAAAATACTCAGATTATTATTATTATTTATTGCTTTGCAGAAATAAAAGTAATGGAAGCTACTGGATTTCTTTGTCATGGTATGCCATCCCAAAAGAATTCGGGAGCCTTTCCTCTGAATTTCAAAACAAATGTTATTTGGTTCCAGCAGCTGGATCAGCTTGTTCTGGATATGTTCACAAGCAAAACCATGGCCTATGTTGATTTCATTAGGTGAGCTCCTAAAGAGCTGCATCAAGTGCTCTATGATGTTACGAATGGCAATACTTTAAGTACTGCCTGCATTGCCTGCTGTTAGATTATCTCCACTAAGAAGAAAAATGTATATGGATGTATGAAGAGAAAGTGAACTATTTGTTGTGACAATCTATAGCAGCATGTTGTGTGCTATTGCTTTGTTATCCGATTTTCTGTAACACTGGGAGAGAGACCATGTTTAATTCAGGAATTACTTATATAGATTTGTTTGAAAAATTTTTATGGAAATTCTGCTACTTTTGCCTCTGTCAAAACCAAGGGGCTTTGTAAAACTTCATTTTAAAAGTAGGCTGTGGAAATGACACTTTATCCAGACATATCCTCTCCACGTTTTCAAATGATGCTTCAGTCATTGTGTTTTGTCATCCTGTTTGCAAAGAATTTGCTGTTTATTTTTTAAAAACAAATTTTATGTTGTATGATATAGTAGATTATACGTAGTCAGAAGCACATTCATAGCACTCTGATGTACACTTCAAATGTTTCATACAGTATATAGTGCAACATAATGCAAAATGAGAAGTCAAATTTGAAAGGCAATAGTTCCAACTATCTTTAAAACACTCGTTTCTGCAGGGAATTTAAACATCTTTTAATATAGATTCTTATTCACAGGAATGATGTTCTTTGGCAGGAGAAAGGTTCATTTTCCTTACAGGTTAGATTCAAATCAAATGAAAAAATAAAGAACTGCAGGTCAGGAAAACTGCTTAAAAAGATAAGAAAAAAAGGGAACGCATTTTTACCTTGACATTGACAAAGCTAGGAAGGAACAGAAAAGGTTGCTAGAGAGATAGTAGTATGCACTTGCATAAGGATACAAATGCACGCATGTACTGATGCAGTACAGAATAACCTGGTTTTGGTCTGCATGTATTTGGCCCCTGGCTCTACTCCTTAGCTGGTGAAATGTCACACATGAAGATTTTTTTCTAAAGCTTGCAGTGGCAATAAGTGTGTTCCAAAAGAAGCATCACGTGCTGATGGAAAGAAGATTCGGAAAGACAAAGCCAACATACTCAGTGAAGTTCCTTTAACATCATGAGCGTGGCATACTGAAATGTATTTGGATGTTTATCCCTAAACAGCAGAAGCCTGCAGCTGAGAAACATACCTAAAAGATTATTCAACATCCTAATCAAGTCCTTTACCCTTAAAAATCACTGTTCCTTCCCTGCCTGTACAAGACTTTGCTGTTTCACGTGGTGCTCACTGCCTTATGTTTCTGTGTGATAATAAATTGTAACAGTATGCACAGCATTCTAAGCTGCTCTCAAATAACAAAATTATCAGAATCCAAATAATTGTCACCACCACAGTTTGCTTCAATAGCCACAATTGTAGGAACAATAGAAATCCTCTTTCATTTCTTATTAAATTCTTTGAAAGTATTAGAAAAATGTTCTGATTTCCTTTATTTATCCTGTTACATTAATAAAGCAGAGAATTTAATGGATTTGAAATGCTTTGAAGAAATGCCTTTCAATCCCAAACCAGAAAAGATTACTGGTAGTAAGTCTAAACTCTTTAAAAAAATTGTAATTTTAAATGACCAGAAAACAGTACATATCCACTCCTATAGGCTTCACCACTCATACAGTGTGAGGCAATCACTGTAAAGGAACAGATTTTGTGCAGATTGAGGTCCTTTTCCAAGCAGTGCAAATACCTGCAGAGCACACTGAGATGGTACAAGAACAAATGGCCCTGAAATATTTTGCCTTCGAAGGTATGTATCATGCTATGTGAAGGCTGGCCCACTTTCAGCTAACAGCAAAAGCTGTAATTCCTTTAGCAGAAGAATTAATTAAGCACCAAGTGAGAGGTGAGTTTTCATTAATCACTCTGAAACTGTTAACTTCTCTTGAACCATCCTACTGGTTTGTGAAAAGGTAGTTAGACATTTCTTAAGTCAAAACTGCTTAAATTGGCTTCACAGCACTGACAAGACCGTCCTGAAGTCTCTTTTTACTAAGGCACACTGTTATTTCTCATTGAATTAGTGCCAAGAGTGCATGGAGCCTTGTCGAGACAGATTAAACAGGGAAGGAGGGAAGCCTTGGACCCTTCAAAATCAATTCAAGCACCTGCATGAGCATCTGTGTCTTTGCCTAAAAAAAGTGCTATTGAAAGTTTTATTCGTCTTCTATCAAACATATTGGAAAAAGAGAGCCTTTCTCAAGGCAATTATCTTACTTCTAAAAACATTACATGCAAACCTTAATTTTCCCAGGGCTGCTGGAGACCAGATGCAAAGCTGCATTTCAGGCATGGTGTCCCTGGCTGTATTTTCATTCAGAAATTTTGACATTCTGAGGAAGAACTGTTGTTGCAGCAATTTCATGATTGAGCTCCTCACTACTTACACACAATATTCAGGATGTTCTGCAGTGTCCTGGTTTCACCTTGGCCCTGGTCTTTGCCCAGCCTCTACCAGGTGCACCTCCTGTCCTTCCTGAGGAGTGAGCCTTCTCTGGACATAATCCCATGACTGTTGGAATTTTTGCTTGAAAAACCAAGAGTTGTCTTTGCAGGGAACTATTTCTGTTTCAGGGAGCTGAGTCAAGCTGCGTAGGAGGATGGAAAGTCAGAAGTATCTAAGGTATAGGAATAGTGGACTGGTGTTCAGTAGGGACACTGCAGCTTATCTCTGTTCACTCATGCTAATTATTTTAGCTCTATGGAATAAGCTATGGTAATACACAAAGGCGTTTCAACCCACATCACAGTTAATGGGGAAAGAAGGAAGAAAAATTATTCTAGCTTCTAGCAAAGCCCCAATTAAAATTAGACTTTAAAGTAATGCTAAATTAGGCATTTAATCAAAATTCTGTGTACACAGTTAAAATGCAATCTTGCTTCATGCAACTGAACTTAGGAAAGAAGTTTCTAAATCCTTAGAAAGCCTCATATTTAGGGACAGTATTTTCATCTATTAGTGAAAACATCATAAAATTATAAGGCAGGGGGCAGCATTTTCAAAATATCTCTGATTAGCATCTGAAATAAAAGACTCCTCCATTCCCAGCCAGTTTTCTATGGTGCCAATTATGCTTTGCAAAGAATACGTGTTGAAATCTGAATATATTCAGCAAATTATTCATGGATGGGATGAGTTTTCACATTAAGGACTTACAAGATCAGTATCACAGAGCTTCAAGGAGACACTCTAGTGCCCACAAGAGAATTGGAACTGGCTTTTAGGAATATGTATTGCTGTACCTACCAGTCACAGAAGAACACAGAAAGTACAGGAAATCACCTTTTCATCTTGCGTCACTGAAACATACCTTTAGGTGTGCAGCTTTCCAAAATAAACACCTTCTACTTCATTCAGGAATTACTGTAAGTGAAGTTGAAACACGAAAACTTTCCAGACCTGATACATTAAAAAAAGACCTTTACTCCTTTTTTCTCACAGCAAAAATGCCTGTGCAAAAATTTAGGGCAGATATTTTCCTTGAAACACTGACTTTTAAGATGTTGTTGGACATTGAGATTTTAAATGTGAGAAAATCATCTGGAAAACAGAGGTCATCCAGTGAGAAAAAATACAGATGCTACGCATCTTGTGAGTGCAAACAAATTCAAGGAAATTTGAATATCAAATGCGTCCAATGATTTGTTTTTGAATATCCACCCATAGATTGAGATTCTTAGATATTATTTTTCTTACGTACAAAAATAGCAATGGATATTAGAACTTTGAAATTATTTCAAGCACACCTCTGGAGTTTAGATAATATTTTCCTTTTTGTTAAAACCTGTTCAAGAATAGCTATGTTGTATGGCACCATAAAATTCCCTTTGAAATTCTACATGATGGTTACAAGTTCTGACAAATTTGATATTTTTCCTAATCAAATAATTTACAGAAATTATTTGTAAAATATTTCAAACGACAACAAAATTAGTCACAATCTATTAGTAGACAAACTGCTAAAGAGAAAATAGAAGAGAATTTAATTGAATAAATTATTCATTACAATTTATTCAGTCAGATTTGATTTAAATGGTTGTTAATCTTTTGAGGGTTCATGTAGTACAGTCTTGCAGTAGCCCTGGTCATGAATTTCAATATACAAACTGTGATTTTTCTCCAAAAAAGTTACATGCTCACATTTCCTATGTAATGAAAAACTAGGAAAAAAAAAATGGTTTGGAGCCATCAGAACATTTTGTTTTGTGAATCATTTTCTCCAGTAAGAAAATAATTACTTGTTTTGGTAGCGTCAAAACTCTCCAGTACAAAATACTAATATAACGCAATAATACACATATAATGCAGTATCATAGAAAGTAGCAGTATAATAAATGTAGCAGATTTTCTTAAACCTCAAATTTTATCAAAACAGATAACCATTCTGTGAAAGATTTAGACAGATGGAACAGTTTCCTGACCTTTCGGGGCCATGCTAAACTTCATGCACTCTTGCCACCTCCACAGTGCATGCCAGGGAGCCACCAGCCAGCGTTAATGAGCACTCATCTCTTGGAAAACGTGAATTATCATTGCTCAACTTTTCACTGTGAAGCTTTGTCAAGAAATCTCTCCAGCACCCTAGGAAGTGGTATTTGTTTCTCTAGAGAGCTGTGGGAAGAATCAAGTAACTTGTTTCTGTAAGGATTGCTTGACATCTAGACATGGACATCTTAGTTGTGGGTCTGTTGCCATGACACCACCTTGCAACAAAAAAAACCCACAACAGTTACGTTAAAAATAAAGGAAGAGTTGAGTTACACACATTTAAATACCGATCAAGCATTTCAAAGCCCAAAGACAGATGTAAAAAAGAGCAGAAAAATAAGTTTACATATCCACCTGGGATTTTAAAAGCTGCAAGAGGTCACTCTCTCTGCTTCTCTTTGTTAACAAGCTGCCCAAACCCCTGTTGAGCTTCACCTCAAGGGTTCAGCCCCTAAGCACAGCCTGCTTCCCCCAGGGTGCTCCTGATCTGGAGATACATATTGCCCGTCCTATAAAATTTCCCTCAGCCATAGCCGCAGTCAGTCTCCTCCCTCTGATTTTCTCTAGTCTATAACATGAGCACGATGTTAGCTTTAACTCACCTTCCAGAGATTTACTGACTACCCTCACCTAAACACAGTGTTCCTGCCTCTTGGCCTGCCTGAAATCATCTCCTGTCAGAAAGACAGAAGTCTGCACCACACACCATTGATTGCAGGAGGTTGGGCACTGCCTCTAACATGTGTTGCCAATGCTCCACACCACTGTGATCTTCCCCAGGTTTGCCAGAGCCTGAGGGGGGAAGTAAAACATGATAGTCACAGCAGGCTCAGGGCACTGAGAGCAGTGCTGGTGGACACCTGTGGTTGTTGGATGGTTACAAGCTGGGGGCTGCAGGGAGCTTGGGCAGAAAATAGGCTATCCCCTCTGAAACCAGATCAAGGTCTGACTGAACCCAATAGAAAGGGACAACAGACAACCTCAGCAGCAGCCAGGATTTCTCTCCAAAGAAGCACAGGTTGGGCAATAACCTTCTTTCATTCTTTTTCTTACAAAAAAAACAGTTCTCTCTCCTCCTCCCCTTCTGGAACTGTTCATAGGGTCCAACAAGGGTGGTGCTAGACCATGATAAAATGTGGTTAGTGTGGACATGGGACATTAACCTCCCCTTCTGCACTGCTGGCCTGGCACCAGCTGGGACCTGGTGCCCATGGAGGAAGTGCTGTCTTCAGGGCAAGATGAGGACAGAGGCAGTGCCCAGTCCCGAGCACAAGCAGGAGGACCAAGATATTGGAGCTGTCATGTACATATTGTGCAATCAGCG